CGCGGGGTATAAACTAGGCCAAAGAGAAGCAGTGTGGCACCGTAGTTAAGATGGCTGCCTTGGGGCTAAGACCCGGGCACAAGATTAAATCCTGTAACACTTGTCTGGTGACCTTGACCTTCCTTTCTCAGGGCCTCTCTGTCTCCATCTGTGAAATGGAGACAATAGCACCTACCTTGTAGGATTGTTGGGAGGAAACGAGATGAGATGTGGAGAGGGGTAGCACGTGGGTAACATTTACCAAGCATTTACTATTATGAATTTTTTTAATCAAAAAATTTTTAATTATGATAAAATACACATAACATGAAATTTACCATCTTAACCATTTTTAAGTGTACAGTTCAGTAGTGTTAGGTGAATTCACGTTGTTGCACAACCAATCTCCAGACCTTTTCAGTTTGCAAATCTGAAACCCCATACCCATTAAACAACAGCTCCCCATTCCCCCTCCCTCCAGCCCCTGGTAACCACCATCCTACTTTCTGTCGCTATGATTTTGACTACTCTAAGTAGCTGGTATAAATGGAATCATACAATAGTTGTCTTTTTGTGACTGGCTGAGTTCACTTAGTATAATGTCCTCAAGCTTCATTCATGTTGTAATACGTCAGAATTTCCTTCCTTTTTAAGGCCGAATAATATTCCACTGCCTGTATATACCACATTTTGTTTATCCATTCATTCACTGATGGACACTTAGGTTGCTTCCACCTTTCAGCTACTATGAATAATGCTGCTGTGAACACGGGTGTACAAATATCTTTTTGAGACCCAGCTTTCAATTCTTTTGGGTGTATACCCAGAAGTAGTATTGCTGGACATTGACTGTGATAATTTGAAGGTGGGGCGTTGAGGGCTTCCCACTGTATCTTGCCCGCCAGAGCAAGAGAAGGCCCTGGGGTCCTGTGGAGCAGTTTGAAAACCAGTGGATCAAATGAGCCGTTACATTCTTTGCCACTTCTCCCCCTTCCTTCCCGGGCAGATTTACCTCTTGAATTATTTTTTAATCATCTCAAATGGAAACCACCAGTCATTCCATCAATGTTTGTAAGTGCCTACTAGGCTTCCACGTGGACAGAGGGAAATAGACAATCAGCAATAAACATAAGTAAGTGATAGTATGTCAGACAGTGATGTGTGCTCTGGACCAAGCAGAGGAGCCAGGTGAAGGGGATTGGGCTGAGAGGCTGGGGGCAGGGTGGCTTCACTGAGCTGTGAGGTTTGAGCCAAGACCGGAAGGAGGTGAGGGAGTTGGCCATGTGGTTATCGGGGGAAGAGCATTCCTGGCAGAGGGAACAGCCAATGTAAAGGCCTTGAGGTGAAAGCATGCCTGGTGGGATCCAGGAGCAGCGAGGAGGATGGTGTGTCTGGAGCAGAGTGAGCGAAGGGGAGAGGAGGAGGGCACATTGCCTGTGGCCCAGTCGCCGTTGTCAGGACCGTAACCGTGGGTGAAAAGGAAGTCATTGGAGGTTTGGAGCAGAGAAGGGACATGACCTGGCTTCAGTTTGAGATGGAGCTCTTTGGACGCCGTGTGGTGGATAGCTAGGGGTGAGGGCAGAAAGAAGCAGGAGACTGGTGAGGAGGCTCTGTCGGGACCTGCCTGAGAGGTGGTGGCCGCTTGTACCAGGGTGCGAGTGGGGGAGGACGGGAGCAACCAGAGATGTGAACCAAACATCCTACAGCATGGGCATCCACCCCAATGGCAGGCTCTCACCCCGCCCCACCACCCCGCCCACCCTCCAGGCTGCTGAAGGGAGGCTGGGATAGGAACTGTCCTCCTGGCCAACATCCCTTTTTCCTTCTGGTATGTTGTGGGATTGACCAAAACCCTCTGAGTTCTTCTGTGTTGGAACTGTTGCCGTGGAGACCTCCCGAGACGCTGCATTTACCCCTGGCTTCCAATTTAACTTCCAGATAGGGGTGACGAAGAAGTTTCTCTCCTAAAATGCTGGAGAAGGGGAGGTGAGGGAGGAGTTGACTGGGCCTGCCTAGAGTCCTCCCTTCTAGGACCGTCTCAAGATTGTCCTATTGTGTGTGTGTATGTGTTAACTTTGAACTGGAGTCACCAGAGTTTCTGTCCTAAGAGCAGTGCTGTCATTCTATTTGTTATCAAAGATTTCTTCAGCCAGATGCTTTTCCTTCTCCTACGCTCCAGAACAATTAGTCCTCAGCCTTCCTGTGACACTGGAAGCATCTCTCTAGTAATGCTCATTTTATTGTACTGCAGACTCATTTAGAAATTCAGCTGTGACCAGTTAACTCAGAAAAAGAGGAAGAGAAAGAGAACACAGTCTTCGCCACCACACACACACACGCATGCACATCACATTTGACCTTGGCTGTCACTGACTGCTCCAAGTAAGAAGGCCACAGCTGCCTGGTGTGTAAGAAAAAAAGTTCATTCTTGCATGCCATCTTCTAAAGGCCCAGGTCATTGACTTTTAAGGATGATTTAAAGGATTTGCAAGGGTGATATTGACCATATTTGATTTTCTAGTCAGTGCTGACTTTGGAATTTTTCATCCCCCCAGGAAGAAATCCCACTGTGTTGTTTATGGCATAAGCCAGCAACTATTGACTGAGCACCTAATGTGGGTGCTTGTAGAACTGAGGACAGATGTTTGTGGAATGTCTGTCTACCCCACTACTGACAAAAATAACTCAGCCGGTGTTTTCTTTGGTGACAGATAATGTGATTAGCTAGACAAAAATCATAATTGTAGAGGATCAAAATGAAGTCACACTCCACAGTAATCGCTGTCCATCCCGTATCTGGGCTTTGTGGTCTAGCCGTGGGTGTGTGTTCGCTCTGGTTGTTCTCACTATGTACACGTTGTTTCTGTGAGAGTCAGTGCTCTCCTGGGTCAAGTGTGGACCTTTCTCAGAGTTCCTTGGTGTGTTCACAGCCCCTGCGCAGGGACAAGACCCCCAGGAGACCCTTGGGAGTTGGAAGCTACTCCGTCCATCAGTGACCTCCTGAGCCAGGGTGCTGCTGGACCAGCTCTGTGCACATTTGGGGCCCCAGGGTGCAGGGGCACCCCTGGCCCTCACCAGCAGGGTCTTTTTCTCGCTGCAGGAATCCAGTACTCTCTTGGAATTAGTCTAGCTTCTCAGACACACTTAAGAATCTCAGTTCCACTTTGTACTGGATCCTGATCCCTAATCAGACCAAGGGGTGGAGGCCTCTGAGGCCTATGTACGCAGTTCAGGTGGCGCATTCCCCCCCCACACAGTTGCCACCACACTCCTTCAACTGGAACAGTTTGGGGCCCTGCCCGTCCGACTGGACAATCCATAGAGTTGGAACCATGGACGCCTCCATCCCACCATCGTGGGTAGCTGAGAATGGGCTCTGTCTGCCACACCACGCCTTGTTCATTTTATTGATTACAAGACCTGTTGGTCAAAGGAATGGGGCTTAACTGTGACCTCAGCCCCACTGGCTTGGCTGGGCAGCATGGGGCCGGGGTTTTCTGAGATAAAACACTCCTCTGCTAGGGATCAAGAGCAGAACTGTTTTTTATTTAAAAAAATTTTTTTTCATTATAAAAGCATCAATAAGCTCATGACAGAAAATGTTAAAATTTCGGAGAAATAGAGCAAAAACCAATTGTGTCTAGTCCCTTAGCCCCACCACCAAGAGACAATGATCACTAACATTTTGATATATTTCCTTGTGATCTTTTTGCTCTGTGAAACTTTTTTTAAGACATAACTGGAGTTGTATTGTATATTTAGTGGTGTGCTATTAACCACCTCTTGGGAAAATAAAATCCCTCATTTGTAGCACTTGCCAATTTCTGTAGTGTAAAGACTGCCACTGTGGCCCATTTCAGGCTCTTGGTGTCACTGAACACAGAGTTGGGAAGAGATGCCACTATGAGCTGGCATCAGCACACCATATTATAGTTTAAAATCATATCTATTTTTTCTGATCTTAAAATCAATACATACTCGTTATTGAAAATTAATAAAACATAAACATATAACGAAAAAAAATTAAAATCATCCAGAATCCACCTGTACCCCACCCCCTGCTTAGAGACAGCCACTGTCACCATCCTGATAAAAGTCCTAACAGTCCCCTCTCTACAGACAGAGACATAAACAAGATAACCTTCTTCAGAGTTCAGAAGCAGTACGTATTTATGGCAGAAAATTGGGGAAATCCAGAAAAGTCTTTGGTATCTCGCCTTTCAGAGGTAATTTTGGAGGCTAGTCTTTTAGCCATTTTTCTTCTCTGCATCTTTTTAACATGCGTGGACTCATGGCATGAATCTCCTAGTTTGTAGGCAGAGTCTGTTCATATTCTCATGCCCCTTAGGAAGGTGACATCCAGGGGAAGGGTGTTGTCACTGCTAATTTATTTAAAACCCTGTGGAGGCTTAAAGAGGGAGAAAATATTCTAGTTCCTTGGCATGGAAAGTGCCCATTAGGATGACGCACAGATTATTTGAAGTTTGGGTGGAACCCTGGGTTTGGGGCTCTGTACATCCCTGGGTAATTCCAGACGCTTGGCCCTGGTTCCATCTCCCTTCCTCATGTGATGCTCTATGGGAGTGTAAGTAAGAATAGGAGTGCCTTTAGGGAGAGGAATAACCAGGAAAATCTAGCTCTTGCTTAAGCCTAAAAACTAGTTCGTTCAGTCGTTTGTGTAACAGGCATTTCTGAGCACTCTCTGTGTGGCAGGTAAGGGGTTGGGCACCGGGATACAGGTCTGGAGGAAATCTGGTGCCCGCCCTCTACTGCCAGGCTAACCAAGGAGCTGGCGCAGCAACCACAGCTCAGGGCACGTTCAGTTAGCACAGACAAGCCACACAACGTGCCAGGGCCGTGCTGGGTGCATGGTAGCTGCCTGCCGCCTGCTGAGAAAGGTGTCCAGGTAGAGGATCCTGTGGGGTCAGAGGCCCAGTGGGGGCAAAGGCCCAGAGGAGTGTGAGGAGTAGCAAGGGCCCCTGAGGCTCAGGCTAACCGGATCCCTCTCTCCCATAGGCCTCCTCCAGATCCCACAGCGTATGGACCCACAGGCTGGTTTTTCTGGTTTGCTCCCCAGGGCAATTTGCATATTTCTCCGAAGAATCATCAAGAAGCTGAAAGCCTGTTTTCAGACTTAGAGAGAGGGGAGGCCCACAGTTGTTTCTTGAAATCAAGGTAAGTATTATTTAAGGGTTCTTTTTGTTCAGAACCCCCATCATTATTTAAAATTGTCTTATTTCAAACAAGAGTTTACATAGTGTCTGTCTCCCTCACTAGAATGTATCTCCGTGATGGAGAGTCGTTGTCTGTCTGTCTAGTCACTGCTTTGTCCCGAGCATGTAGGATGGCATGTATATAGGTGCTAATATGTGTTTATTAAATTAAATAACAATTAATTTGGGATGAGGTGAATTTTCATTGTTAGTTTACTTAGACCTTAAGAAAAGGTCTTTAAAATTCTGTAGAGACATCCTACTGCTTTTTTTAAAAAAAAATTTTTGTAATTTAAAATAATTGTAGACTCACCAGCAATTGTAAAAATAGTCCTGAGAGGTCCCGTGTACCCTCGCTCAGCTCCCAGCATGGCCGTTGCTCTCGCAGTGAAGTCTGACTCCTTAGGAAGAACTTGGTCCTGCACAGCGTGCCCCTGGCTGCTTCCCCTCCAACCTCCTTTCTCCCCTCCCACCGCCCCACGCCCACCCGTCGTCCAAGTCCTGGCTACACTGAGAGTCTTTTTGGTTCTTCAAAAGCACCTTCTCTCTTCTCCCTCTGGGTCGTGACACGTGCTGTCCCCTCTGCCCAGAACACGCTCTTCCTACTCACCCCACCTCTGTCCCATGTCACCTTCTCCAGGAAGCCAATTCTGGGTTCCAGGCCCCCTCTTTGTATCCTTCTCTCTGTGTTTTCCCCGTCACAGCGTTTATCCTGCTGGGTTGTCATCGTCTGTTTACTTGTCTCTCTCTACCACTGTCCTGATCTCCTTCTGGAATACCCTCTCCCATCCATCCGCAGGGCTGTCCCCCTTATCTCCTGCAGGCCTCTGCTGGAATGGCACCTTTCATCACTTCGTATCCCCCTCACCCAATTGTTCTTCCCGGATGAGCACTTCCTGACCAAATGTTTACTTATTTATTTAGTGGGCTGTTAAGGGCATGGATCCTATAACCAGATCGCCTGAGTGTGAATCTTGGTTCCACCACTTACTAGCTGCGTCATCTTGGACGAGTTACTTAAATTATTATTATCATTATATATTGCTGTATTATTGCCTCTGTCCCAGCAGAATGTAGGCCCCTTGAGAGCAGGGAATTTGTCGATTTTGTCCCCTGATCTGCCCCGAGGCCCAGAACAGGGCACCACACATCATGTACCCTTCTTCATTCATCCAGCAAGTAGTTATCAAACGCCTACAATATTCCAGGGTGCTTGGAAAGCGAGGGGTACAGCAGTAAAGAGACAACCAGGGGCCTGCCTCGAGAAGCTTGTATCCTATTTGTATACACAAGCAAACAAATAATTTAAAAATATTTAAGATAAGAATAAGTATTATAAAAATAGAACAGGGTGCTGGGATAGAGGGGCAGAAGTACTTTAGCCTGGAGGGTCAGGGAAGGCCTCTCAGAGGTGACATTCAGGCTGAGGCCAGAATGATGTGAAGGTCAGGCGAAGAGTGTCCCAGGCAGGGGGAACAGCAGGTGCAAAGGGCCCGGAGGAGGGACCAGCTTGTGTGTTTGAAAGCAGAAGGACAACCAGTGTGGCTATAGTGTGGTGAACAAGTCGGGCATGGGGGCGTGAGATGGAATTTAGAGGCTGGCAGGGCCCGCATCACGCAGGACCTTATAGGCCATCGTAAGGGGGTTGATATTCATCCTGGTGCGATGGAAGCCTTTGGAGGCTTTTTAAGCAGGCAAGTGACGTGGCTGGTGCATATGACAGAAAGGCCGCTCTGGCCACTGTGTAGAGAACGCATTGTGGGGTCATTGAGAGTGCATTTTGTTGAATGAATGAATGAATGAAGAGAGTGTATTTTGTTGAATGAATGAGTGAAGACAGTGTATGTTGTTGAAGGAATGAATGAAGAGAATGTATTTTGTTGAATGAATGAATGAGTTTGGCCTGAGCTGAGCTTTTCGTGTGCTAAGCACATCCTCTCCGCCGTGGGTAGAGGCGGGCCAGCTCATGCTTCTCTGATGAGAAGGCTGTTTCTTCTCGAACTAAGAACTAACGTGGGGCTTTCCAGATAACAGCCCAATCACGTACCATCGTGGGCGCCTCTAGGTGCCATCACCGCAGCCCCTCAGTGGCGCGTGGAGTTGGTTAAGTGTGAGGAAGTTGCTGGACCTGCTGACCTCATGGATGGGTGCCACCCCTGGTGCTGTCCTCAGTGTGTGGCTTCTTGCTGTCCCCTTTGTCCACCACCATGGTCTGCGCTGATCCTCCGAGCCGGGGAAATCGGCCACGAATCTCAAACCTGGGCTCCTGGAGCAACCATTGGAGGCCAGTCTTGCTGGATGACGTTGGGCAAGGTCTTAACCTCTCTGGGCCTCAATTTCTCCGTTTGAAAGAAAGGAAGGAGGATCCTTGTGCTGGTGTAGAGGGAAGAGCACAGGGTTTGGAGCCAGAAGTCTGGTTTGTGTAAGTTGCTGTGTAACTTTGGGAAAATCACTTGGCCTCTCTGAGCCCGTTCTTCAGTTATAGGAGTGAATCGTGATGGCTCACGTCCTACTTAATGTCACGATGGTAGCTGTGAGAATTAAACAGATTGGAAAGTGCTTTGTAAACTGTGACGTGCTATACAGACGTTGGTTTGTTGCTTTTAGCTACCTCAGGGTTATTTTGGAAAGCTGATGAAGTATTAGTTGTGGACAGACTTTTAAATAACTCCTCCGTAGAAGTAATATTTTGAGAACAAAAATTTTTATTGTTCAGCTGAATGAGAATGAATTTATGGACTAAAATCAGCGCAGAGGGTGGGTATTAGACTAGAAATCTCTGGATGGTGTATGAGTGTTTAAACCAAGGTGGTGGCGAAGAGCTCTGGCTTCGGGCTCTGGTCTGCCGTTTACTGGCTGTGTGACCTGGGCCCAGCGACTTCTCCTCTGAGCCTGTTTCCTCCTTTGCAAACTGGATGTCATGGTAACACCCGGCTCGCAGAGTTGGCTGAGACCCTGCACGTTAAACCTCAGCCCCAGGGCCTGGCACTCAGCAATGGCCCCATAATGTTAGCTCTTACTGTGATTTATACACCAGGCACTATGCTGAGCATTTTATGTCTTTGTTAATTATTTTATGCATTTATTGCTTTAACAAACATTTATGTCGCATGAGCCCTGTCCCAGGCTGTGTTCTAAGTGCTTTGCAGATACTAACTGGCACGGCCGTGTCATTTACTGCTAACACAACTCTTCCAGACAGACGCTGTTATAGGCCCATTTGCAGGTGAAGGAATCTAAGTGCAGAGAGGTTGTGTTGCCCAAGGCCCCATATTTATTAGATGGAGGCACTAGTATTCACACCCAGGTCTGTCTGGTCCTGAGCCTGCATTCATATCCTTAATGCCCGGGCAACCTCTCTTCTGACTTCTGTCACCTTAGATGGGTTTGACCTGTTCTTCAAGTTCATATGAATGAATCCTACTGTATGTACTCTCTCGTGAATGGATGTCTGCTTATCATTTTGTCTATGAGTTTCATTCACGTTGTTGTGGTTAGCTGGACTTCATTCTTTTTCATTGCCTTGTAATATTCCATGGATGAATGTGGCACAGTTTATCCATTCTGCTGTGAGTAAACATGTGGGTTGTTTCTAGTTTGGGATTATGATGAATGAAGCTTCTATGAGCATTCATGTACATGTCTTTTGGTGGACATAAGCCCCATATCTCAGGAGTGGAATTGCTGGGGCATAGAGAAGACATATATTTAGCTTTAGTAGATAATGTCAAACCATTTTCCAAATGGTTGTGCCAATTTACACTCCCACCAGCAGTGTATGAAACTTCTGTTTGCTCCTTGTTCTCACTGACACTTGGTATTGTCAGTCTTTTTAGTTTTAGTCATTCTGATAGGTGAATGGTAGTATCTCATTGCAGTTTTAATTTCCATTTCTCTAATGACTAATTTATGCTCCCACCAGTAGTGGATGGAAGTTCTATTTGTCCCTTATCCTCATCAACACTTGGTATTGTCAGTCTTTTAATTTTAGCCATTCTGATGGATAAGTAGCAGTGTCTCGGGGTTTAATTTCTATTTCTCTGATGACTAATGATATTGAACACCTTTGCATGTGCTCCTTGGCCATCGGATATCTTCTATGAAGTACCTATTCAGGTCTTTCACCCATTTTTTAATTTGCTCCATTTCTTTTTCTTAATGGCTTATAGATAAGAGTTGTTTATATACTATAGATACAAATCCTTTGTTGATACACACATTGAAAATATCCCCCCCTCCCAGTCCCTGGTGTGTGTTTTCACTCTATTAAAGGTGATGAATAGAAGTTCTCAACTTTAGTGAAGGCTAATTTATCAGTCTTTTCTTTTGTGACTGGTATTTTTTGTGTCCAATTTAAATAATATTTGCCTACCCTCCGATGCATTTCTCACTGGGATGTTTTCCTGCAGGGCTGGGAATGGCCAGAAGGGGCAGATGGGGCTGCAGGCTGCCTCAGGTGGCCGAGCCAGCTGTGGAGGGGGAGCCACATCTGCCCACGGGCCGGGACCTGACCGAGGCCAACCGCTTCGCCTACGCCGCCCTGTGTGGCGTCTCCCTGTCCCAGCTATTTCCAGAACCTGAGCAAAGGTGAGTGCTTTTGTCTCGCAGAGGGAAGGCCATGCTTCTTCAGGGGGACAATTACTGACAGCCAAGCAGCCTGCCAGGTATTGCCAAAGAGGAGAAAATCATTGTCTCTGCCTTTAAGGAGCTCACAACCTGGTAGGGGGACAGGACATCCCCTCACTCATTTATGCCTTCACCAAGCACTGTCTGAGTTCCTGCTGTGTCTCCAGGCCCCATCTGAAGTCCATGGAAGGTCCACATGAGTAAGATGAGCAAGGCAGACACTCTCCCTGCCCTCAGTGGACATAGTCTAAGAGGGGTAAGATATTTACGCATTCATACAACATGCCTTTGTTGAGCACCTACTGTGTGCTGGGGCTGGGCTGTGTGGAGAAAACAAAGCAAGCCCTGGCTTCTGCCCTCCCAGTGCTTACAATCTAGGGGGCGCCCAAAGGACCGATTTTAATAGCAGATGGATGGGGTAAGTGCCGTGGTGGGTGTCGTGGGAGCAAAGGAATGACAGGTTTAATGACAGCGTTGATGTCTGCCATTGCCAATATCCAGCACGTGAGTTTAAATCGTATATTTGGAGTCCGAATAGCAGAGTTGTTAAGAGCTTGGCCTTCAAGGATTCTGTGGGGAGAGAGTTTAGAGGCAGGAGGAGGCCAGTTAGGAGGCTGGCGAGGTGGTCCGGGAGACCAGGCCAGTGACCGAGAGGTGGAGCGGGGCACAGGTGGGGTACATTTTTCTCGGGGAGGATGGAGGTGACGTGGGGACAGGTTGGATGTTGTGGACGGGGCAGAGGGAGGAGCTAACTTTGGCCTCAAAGGTCCAGGCGGGGAGGGCGGCCTAGGAGGACGGAGAGATTGTTACTGAGATGGAGAGAGACAGGTTGGGGGGCAGGAGATGACAAGAAGTCTCTGCACCTGCAATGTTTTCAAGACCACCCCCCCCGTGGCCCCCCCATGGTAAACTTCCCCATGACTCGGGTCTTAGCTGGGTTATTTGTTCGTTTTGTTTTTCATCTTTGTTTCTCTCACTGGACTGAACACTTGAGCATATTCATCTCCTTGGGGGTCACCTCCAGGAAGCCTTCCCTGACCCCCCACACCCCCAGACCAGGGTGTTTCTCCACCCGTATGCCCAGTGACTGTTACCGTGACCACCACACTGCACTGTAGCTCTTCCCACACCCGCCACCCCTCCGATTTGAGCTCCTGGGGGGCAGGGGCTGCCTTGCTCATCTCTGAGTACCCAGTGCCTTGCAAAGACTCTCTGTAGAGGTTCGTGAAAAGAAGAGATGGATAAATGCGGGGACAGGAGACATTCCATGGGCTTTGGACTCAGGTCTGGGTTCAAATCCTACCTCTGCCACTTTCCAGATACATAGGCCCTTGGGCAGGTTGTTTAACTTCCCTAAGCATCAGTCTCTTCATCTGTAGAATGGGACTAATAATACCCACGCTCAGGATGATTACAAGAATTAAATGAGATAACATAGATAAAGCACACAGCATAGTGCCTGGCACATAGTAGGTGCTTAATAAATGGTAATGGTTGCTTGCTAACTCTCTGAACTTATTTTGTTTGCCCCAGTTTTCTTCTCAAATGGAGACAGTTTGGAACTGGAACTTACCCTAGTCAGGGTATTTTGGGCTACAAGTAATAGGACACTGTACTAAAAGAGAATTAAGCAACAGGAGATTTGTTTTTCTCACTTAACAAGAAATCCAAAGGTAGATAGTTCCAGGGTTGATTCAGTGCCTCAAAAGGCCTTTGGGTTGGCTTCTCTGCCATTCTGCTGGCCTTCTCCTCCTGATCACAAAATGGCTGCTGCAGCTCCGTACATCACACCCTCACAAAACAAGGCCCAAGGCAGGAAAGTGGAGGGCAGGGATTCTCTTCAAGTCTTTCGTCAGGGAGGAAATCTTTCCTGGAACACCCTTTTGTGTCATTGGCTAGAACCAGTCACATCCCCAAGCCTCACCTGCAAGGGAGGCTGGGACAAAATAAGGGCACTTGCCATTTTCAGTCTCCTTCATGGGAGGTGGTTCTGCTGGCCAGGGAGTAGGGGCTGGAGAGTTGCTGCTGTGGAGAAACAGCATCCATCAGAGAGAGTGGTGTGAGGAGGGGATGTGTTGATGGCCCCTCAGAGCCTGGCACAGAGCTACTGCCAAACAAATGGTGGATGTTCTCAGTATTAATAATGAAACCACCTTCTCTATCTGGACCTTAGAAAATATCTCATTGGCTGTTCTGTTCCCACGTAAGCCGAGGACCCATCTTCTGCAGGAGTCCAGCTCTCTGCCCGCTCTGGCCCATAGTGCTGCTGTATCAGGGAAGCCTCCATCTTTCCAGAAGCTTCCCCTGACCTGACAAACCCCTACCTGATAAGCTGCTACCTAGGCCAGGAGAAGCTCTGTGTACTTTGCTCACATAAACAAATATTTATGAAGCTGGGCTGTGTGCAGGCCTGTGCTGGGCACCCCGAGGAGGTCACAGGGACAGGGGAGTCCCCCCAGGTATTGTTCTAGGCAAACATGGCTGTTGCCTCGCTGGAAGCATTTGCCTTGGGGTGTTTCCTTCCTGAAAGTTTCCGATAGGTCTGCCAACTCTTTCCACGTGGTTGAACTCAGTTTTCTTAGGCTCAAAACACATTTTAAAGACAACGTCGATCTTTGTGCAGCCCAGATGCGCTGTTGGTTTCAGTAATCTTTGGAAAACGCTGTGTGGTAGATCTTGTCCACATGGGGCATAAAAGCAAGCCTTTGAAATATTTATTTCTCATCCCTGCTGTCAATATCACAGATGCTGTTCCCTACGGCTGACTGTATTTATTAAACATGGAGAAATTAATGGGGTAGGACAGGGGTCAGCAGACTTTCTGTTAAGGGCCAGGGGTAGGCTTGTGGGCCCTGTGGTCTCAGTCGCAGTCGCTCCGCTCTGCTATCGTAGCTGACAAGGAGCCGGAGACAGTGTGTAAAGGAGTGGGTGTGACTGTGTCCCAGTAAAACTTAATTGACAAAGTCAGGCCACAGGCCGGATTCGGCCTCTGGTAAGTGGGAGGTGCTGTGGACTCGGAGTCAGGAACCCTGGACTCCACGAAGGCTTTGCCCCTTCCCAGCGGGCGGACCTTTGATGAGGACTTTAACCTCCGCAGCCCCGGAGCTCGCTCTGCGAGGTGCAGCGAGGATGAAAGGGGATGTTTGATGCACCGGCTTGGCCAGAGCGGCGGGGAGTGGAGTGTCATCACCGGGAGGGCCAGGGTCTGCAGGGGAAGCGTGGCCTCTGGAGTCAGGGAGATACAGGCTAGAACCGCTCGGCTGTCACTTAACCTCCCTGGGTCTGGTGTCCTTATCTCTAGAGTGGGGATAAAAATAGCACCTCCCTCCTTCGTGGGAGTGGGGTCGTGGCGAGACACACACAGGCCATGTGTCTAAAGCACTTCGCACAGGGACAGAGAGTGGCCCTGTGGTTGTCATTTGTTGTCAGTGTTGCTGCTGATTGACATGCATCTCGACTAGACCACCAACCACGTGAGAAGCAATTACCAAGGCCCTGCTGATCCGAAATATTCTGTTATTTGATTACTGTACTGCCGTTTTGCATATATATTTCATAATTCCTTTGTTCATTTAAAGAAACACATATATAGTGCTTTATGTGTGCCATGTATTGTTCTAAGCACATGACAAATGTTAACTTAGTTATTCCTTTCAACAACCCTATGAAATAGGTTTCATCATATCGCCACTGTTTTACAGATAAAGCAGCTGGGGCACAGAGAGGTTAAGTAACTTGTGCAAGATCACACAGCTAGTGGCAGAGCTGGGATTTGAACCCGAGTTTGTGCTCTTTACCCCTCCTCTCTTGTTATGAGATGCTTCTCTACATCCAAGAGTTTCTTCATGGATGCAGGGCCAGGCCATGCTGCTGCCCTCAGCCCTGAGCCCTTTTCGCATATGACTTTTCCCCTGAGTACTGTTCAATTCACTTAATCATCTGCGGCCCCGTATACACACCCATGTACCACGCTGAGGTAACCCCAGTAATCGCCGTGGGGTAAATTATAGCCACTGCAATAGCAGTAGCTAACATTTATTGAGGGTTATGGGGTGCCGGCGCTGTTACCATATCATTTAATCTTTCCAGCCAAGCTGTGAGGCAAGTCCTCTATCGTCCGCATTTTACGGCAGAGGAGAATGAAGCCAGTCACCGAGGGAGCCAGGACACCCCCGAAGGGTCAGACTTCAGAGCCCAACTCTGATCACTATTCTCCTCTGCCTCCCTGGGTCACCTTATAAATAAAATGATGACGCTAGCTGACAGTAGCTGAGCATCTACTCATGCCAAGCCCTGCCCTGGACGCTTTAGACGTGTCATCTCGTTTAATCCTCTAACAACTTAGCGAGATTGGTCCCTTAAACCCATTTGCAGAGAAGGAAGCTAGGGCACAGAGAGGTCAAGTCACTTTTGCAAAGTGCTCAGCTCTTCACTCAGGAAGGAAGGACTCGCCCCCAGCTGCTGGGAGGGCTGCCAGCACCGCCTGGCCTGCCTCACCCTCCCCGAGGTTCTGCCCGCTTCCTGGGGCGGCCTTTGTCCGATGACTGGCTGACGTGGGGGTATAAAGACCCACCCTCTTGCCCCGCTGGGGGCAGCTCTGAAGGGTCACCCCGTCCTCAGAACTCCCTGCAGGGTCAGCTGAGGCTTCTGCTGAGACCGCATTGCAGCTCGACCGCTCCCTGCCCAGTCCTGCGTCCTCCCTGCCCTCCTACCAGTGTTGATCCCAAAGGGATCCCTAAGCATCTGCGTCTCAGAGCTGCTTCCTGGGGACCTGGGCCATAGCGTGGCGGGGCAGGATTTGCACCTGAGCTCCTCACTGCTCCTGTCAGGGGCCCCGGCCTGCAGAGATCTCTCCACTCGGGTTTCAGCCGCAGCAGCTCTGAGGACGGGGGTGGGTGGGCTGCCTGGGATCCCTGGGGGCCAGGGCCGGGTGGTGCAAGTGGGGAGCCTCCTGAGGTCACCCCCCAACCAGGGAGCTCTGCTTGTGTCTGGAAGGCCTGATTCCACCCCGATCTGGTCAGAATGCAGGATGCAGAACCCAGGGTGGAAAGGCCCAGGATGGGGCAGTTGAAGCAGGCTGGGGCACTGGGGTTGGAGACAGACCTGGCTTCTAGGTCTCGGCCTTTTCTATGGACTGGTATAATCACCTCCTCATTGACTCCCCTGCTGCACATCCCCCACCACCACTCACCACTCTCGCTGCCACGAGTGGTGGCTTTGAATCCAAGCCTGACATGAACTCGGCCACAGTCCCCACAATGCCATGTGTTTTCTGCAGCCGTGTCTCAGCTCCTGGGGTTCCTTGTCCCCAGAGTGCCCCATGCAACCCCCCCAGGGACTCCTGTGGGAGTCAACTCAAATGTGTGCTGCGGACAGAGACCCCGCAGTGGCAGTGGGCATGGTGGGAGGACAGATTCTCCCTCTGACTTTATCCACTTCTGTCAGGGCTGACTTTTTCCCAGAAAGCACGTCCTTGGGGATTTCCAGCAGCAGCAAATCTCCTTCTGTGGGAAGCCTTTTCTAGTCACTGCCTCTCACCTGCGCAGGTGGATTTGGGGCTCCCTCTCTAGACTCGTTGGGGCTTGATTCCTGCCTCTGTCCTCGCATCACACGGCACTAGGATCAGTTAGTCACGCCCCTTCCTCCACCCGCTATGAGCTTCTCATCAGAGGCCGCATCTCCCCCATATTTGATCCTCCGCCCCCAGCACAGCCCCCGGCTCAGGCTGGACCCAGGGCACGCTGTCCGTAACTGCTCGTTGCCCTCATTCCTGTGGTTTATCAGCCTCTTGGGTAAAAGTTTTGGTGGCAGAAGAAGCTGAAATCCACATCAGGTGAAAGGTTTTTGGCTCTCGCTCAATTCCGTGAACGATAGTCTCCGTGGGTTTTTTGTATGTGCCAGCTCTTCACATCCACAAACACGTCTGATCTAAACTTCCCAACAGCCTGGTGAGATGCACATGCCGGGAAGCTTTGGGCTCTAAGCCGTGTCTGTCTTTCAGGTCCTTCTGCACAGAGTTTGTGGCGGGCCTGGTGAAGTGGCTGGAGTTGTCCGAAGCCGTCTTGCCAACCATGACAGCTTTTGCCAGCGGCCTGGGCTGCGAAGGAGCAGACGTGTTTGCTCAGATTTTGTTGAAGGACCCCATCTTGAAGGACGACCCATTGGTGATCCTTCAGGTACACCCACCACCCAGGTGGCGGCTGCTGGGGAAAGTAGAACAAATTATTTCCTTTCACAGTCAGTCTGAAATCACTTCTAGTGGGGTGGGATAGTTGAAAGATAAAATATTTCATCATAATATCATATTATGATGATGATCATAGCTAATGTCAAATTATTATTATTGAATATTTACTGTTGATTTAATTTATTACTTGAATAGTTCTTATTATATGCTAGGACCTTTACAGATATTACTCATTTTATTCTCAAAGCGACTTTTGGAGGTAGGTAGTATGATCGTCCCCATTTCATAGATGACAAAATTGAGGCACAGAGAGGTTAAGTAACTTTTCAAGGTCATGCAGCTGACACGTGGCCGAGCCAGGATTTGAACCTTGGCAGTCTGACTCCAGAGCCCGTGCTCCTGAGCGCTAAGCTGTGGTGTCTCTTTTCGGAAGCAGAGCTTTGCTGTGTGCACTTGGGCACGTCACTCACCTGCTCCGTGCAGTTGAAGCAGGCAGAAGCTTGACACGGGCTGTTTGGTGGGTCACGTGAGCAGATTTAAGACAGCCCTCCCTCTCCTCCATGTCACTCCCTGAAATTCTCACTCATTGATTTCTTTATCTGCTTGTCTATCTGGCTCACCACTAGAATGTAGGGCAGAGGTATTTTGTCTGCCTTATTCTCCCCCTTAGTAAGAGTCAATAAATATTTGTCAAATGAGTGGGTGATTCCATATCAAATTGCTAATTCCTGTTCTCTTTCCCCAGGACCTTCTGAGCTTCTCCCTCAAGGATGGTGAGTTGATTTTCTAAGTTCATACATTGTGGGTGCTCATCTTCTCCCTCAGCCAGGAAAGCCAGTGACAGGTGTTGCCACCTGTGGCCTGGTCCCCCGTGGCCCCTTTGGTGCAAGGAAGGAAACGGAACCCGATATAGTCGGGGAGCTGGAGAGCGCTTCTTTCGTGCCAAGCACTGTGCTTCTTGGCGGTCATTCCGTGTATTCCTCGCGAGGCCCTGTGGTTCTGCCTTCTAAGTAGCTCTTGATCTGGCCCCTTCCCGTCTCCACCCACCACCCTGCTCTGACCACCGTCACCCCCTCCTGGATGACAGCAGGGGTCACCTCACTGGTCTTCCTGTGGCCACTCTGGCCAGCAGTTTATCCTCCACCCTGCAACTCGAATGATCTTTCCAGACGCACCTCTGACCATGCTGCCTCCCAGGTCCAACCCTCGGGGACTCCTGCTGCACTCAGGAGAAAGACCAGCCCCTCCGATGTGGCCCTGGTGGGCTGGCCCCTGCCCCCTCCCCTCTCGCACACGGGCCCCCCTGAGTGCTGTGCTTGGGGCACCGTGCCATCTTTGCGCGTGCCCTTCCCCTGGCAGGAGAACCTCACGCTCCTCCCGCCCCGTTACTCTGTACCTTTCCCTCAAGCCTCCACTCAGTCAGCACTTCCTGGAGGAGCCTTCTGGCCTCCCCTGGGACGCTCCCCAGCGCCGTGTCAGCCACGGTTGCAACTGAACACCTAGTTACCCGCTTCTTTGCTTGGTAACTGGCTCCCCATCCAGACCGTAAGCTCCCTGTGGGCAGGGCCCCGTCTGGTTTTCTTGACCACGTACTTCTAGTGCCTAACACAGCACCTGCACGTAGCACACACTCAGTAAATATCTGCTGAATGAAGTAATGAGATAGATTTACTGCCCTGTTTTATGGATGAGGAAGTTGGCCCGGAGAAGTTAAGCAGTTTACCCAAGGTCGCTCAGTAAGTGCCAGTGAGGGATTCCACCTACATTCATTTCCTAGGGCTGTCGTAACAAATTACCACAGACTGGGTGGCTTAAAGCCACAGAAATCTATTCTCTCACATTTCTGGAGGCCAGAAGTCTGAAAGCAAGGTGTCAGCAGGGTCTCACTCCCTTTGAAGGCTGTAGGGGGAATCCTTCCTGCCTCTTTTGTCTTCTGATGGCTCCAGGCATTCCGTGGCTTGTGACTGCATCACTCCAGTCTCTGCCTCCATCTTCCCATAGCTTTTTCCTCCTCCTCCCTTTCCTCTCTTCTGCATGTCTCTTATAAGGACGTTGTACAGAGTGATCTCATCTCAAGATCTTTATCTTAAGTATATCTGCAAAGACCCTTTTTCCAAATACGGTCACATTCGTAGGTTCTAGGATGTGGACGTATTTTGGGGGGTCACCATTCAACCACTTCACCACCTCGGGGTGTTCTCCATTAAACCACTACAGGGCTGCCTCATGATCACCTCCCTGCCTGTAGCTCCCCATCAACTTCCCACCACCTCCTGTCTGCCTGGGCTCCCCTGTTATCGTGTGCGTGGCTTCTTATATTCCCTGAGCTGGTGACGGGTTTTGGCAGAAAGACTTCTGATGTTTATTCTGATGGCGGGTGGGGAGAAGGAACGCAGAATTGTAATGAAATCACAGCAACCTCCAAACCATGTAATAGGGAAAGTATCACCCACTCCGCTCTGGGACCCTGGCTCGTGGGCAGGTGGAGGGGCGGGAGGAGGAGGGGCAGAATTTCGAGAGCGGGAACGGCATGCGTAGGAGCGTAGGTGGGAGGGAGCGCTCAGAGGAAGGTCAGCGGAGCAGGAGCCCAGCGGGCAGGGCTTGGGGCCCCCTTGGCGGCCTTGGTAGGCTGAGCTGGGGAGGAGAGCAGGATGGATTTCACCTGGGCAGACTGAAGGAGGCGTCCCCGTCAGCCAGGTGTGGGGAGACACAGGCCTCAGTGAGGGCAACAGAGATTCTGGGGTGAGGGGCTGACCCAGGACTCATCCTGAAAAGAGACAGCAGAACTGCTACCAGACCAGGTAGAGGGGATGCAGGAGAGAAAGAAATCAGAAGTGACGCCTCAGCTCTGGACTTCTGGTTGCCCCATGCCAGCTGCCAGGGTGTCGGGATCCTGGTGTTTGTCTTCAGAGACCCTTTCATGCCAGGCGGTGGTCAGAGACCTAAGAGAGTAGGGAGTTGGGACTTCCTCCAGCCCACACCACAGGCCGTAGGAACTGTTTTCTCATGCTAGCCTGCTAATACAGCTTTGTTCAGGACAGTCAGCATCTGCGAGGGTCACCCAACGTTGGGGCTTCTTGTTATGAGAATAATAAATTTGCCTTATTATTAAAAAAAAAGAAAAGACCCCTATGCCCTTGCTACTCACAATGTGGTCCGTGAACCAGCAGCATCGGCGTCGGGATCTTTGTTAGAAGTACAGAACCGGGGCCGGCCCGGTGGTATAGTGGTTAAGTGCGCGCGCTCCGCTTCAGTGGCCCGGGGTTCGCAGGTTCAGATCCCGGGCGCGGACCGACGCACCGCTTGTCAGGCCATGCTGTGGCGGCGTCCCATATAAAGTAGAGGAAGATGGGCATGGATGTTAGCCCAGGGCCAATCTTCCTCGGCAAAAAAAGGAAGATTGGCGACGGATGTTAGCTCAGGGCTGATCTTCCTCACACACACACACAAAAAAAGTCCGGAACCTCAGTCGCCACCCTGACCTGCTGAATCAGGCTCTGCACGTTAACAGATCCCAGGCGGTTCCCGTGTACTTTGTAGTCCAAGAAGCGCAGCTCTAAGGCTCAAAAGCCCCAATGTATATTTTTGGCCCTACTCCGTCCAAAGAAAACATTTTAAGTCCATATCTCAGAGCTGAATGGGACCTCCCAGCGCCTGCTTCCTGGCAGGCGTGGCATTAAGTAATACTTCAGTTTAGCCCAGGAGGCCAAGTGGCTTGCCCAGAGGAAGTGGTGGAGTTGACCTGAGAATGCTCAGTTGCATCATTTTTGTTTTTTAAGCAGAAGTAAGAGAAGGATAATAATATCTGATCCTCCTGGACGCTCTTGGAGTAAGGGGTTGAGTGTGCATGGAGGTCCGAGACTCAGGCGGCTGGGGAGCAGGGCAGCAGCTCAGCACAGAGACTCTCACGTTGTAACTGCTGTCACGACAGAGCCACCAGGTGTTGAGTGCTCCCTGTGTGCCCAGCCCGCTGCAGAGGGCTGCAGGGGCACTGAGCCCTCTCGGCCCTGTGATGGGTGGTTGAGGCTGCTGCTCCCGCTTTGCAGACCTGACACTCACGTGGTCAAGGTCATGTTGGATGAGCCTCTCGTTTTTCCAGGTGGAGAGATCGAGGCCCAGAGAGGGGAGGGGGCTCTCCTGGAGACATGCAGTGCCAGAGGCAGACTGGGAGTCAGAGGCAGGCCTCCAGCCCCCCAGGCCAACACTTGGTCCCACTGCCTCGTCACAGGGTAGAAGGAGAAGCCGCCCCAGTGCCCCTGTGTCAGCCTGACCTTCTCCCTTTCCTCACCCAGCGAGTCCTGCTCACCCTGTCCCTCTTCCTGCCCCCACCTGCAAACCACACACCCTCCTGAGCACCCGGGAGCGCCCAGGACACCTTAACTGACCCCCTTTGCTCGGGGTGACCTGGGCCTGGCTCTCGCAGAGTCATTGGAGTGGGTTTAAAATGGCCTGTCTCGTGTCACCGCCGAGTACTTCATGCCCTCCCCGGGGCGTTCTTGTAGCAGCATCTAAACCAGCGTTGCCTTTGAAATTTCTATCAGGAACAACCACCACTTATTAAGCACCTGTCACTGCTAGTCACCACACCTGGCCCCTGTCAAACATCATCTCCTTTCATCCTCACAGCCATCCCTTAATGGAGGCACCCCCACTTCACAGATGAGGAAACTGAGGCTCAGAGGGGTGAAGCAGCTAGCCTAAGCTGGCAAGTGGCAGAGCTGGACATTCTGAGACAAATCCCATTAACAAAAATCTTAGCAGATTTTACCCACAAGAGTTGGGAAATATAGAGGCATCCCCATAGGAGTATAATAATACCTCGGCTCTAAATGATACCAGTCTCTGATAACATCTGGGGGGCGCCTTTGGTTTATCTGAGAGCCCCCTCAGGTACTAGCAGCTAGGAACAGGAGTGGCTTCAGTGGCACTCTGGGATCCCAATGGGAGCAGGTGCTAGGTCAAAGGTCCCTGGAGGTCCGAGGAGGTGGACCCTCAAATCATCTAGACCACCTGTCATCACATAGGTGGGAAACTGAGGCCCAGGGAAGGGAGTGGCTTGCTGGCAGTTGTTATGTCCAACTCTTTATCCACATTAATGCAGAGCCAGGGACCAAGAACCAGGAGCATTTGGGGGTCAGCCTGCCTGGGTGTTAAAATTCAAGTTCCACCTTGGCAAGTTACTGAATGTCTCTGTGCCTCAGTTTCCTCAGAAGTCAAATGGGAATAACAGTAGTCTTTACCTTATAGGGCGGTGGTGAGGATTAAATGAGATAACCCGTGTAAAGTGCTCAGCACATAGCTGGCACGCAGGAAGCAGGCTGTGAGTGCCGCTGTGGTGGTGGTGGTTGTTACTGGTGAGATGGGAAGGCCCTGGCAATCAGGAAACCTGGATTCTCATCCTGTCTCTGAGACTCGTTTGTTGTGTGACCTTGAAACTGTCTTTGGTTCTCAGAACACAGTCAAGGATCTTGTAAGGGAAGAGTCGGTGTCGTAGTTGGACCAGTTGTTTAAGTCCTTCCCCACGAGCTCCATGAGGGTAGGGCCGTTGTCTGGCTTGTTCATCATCGTATCCCAGTATCTACGACACTGATGGACACGTGGTGGGCATTTAGTATTTGTTGGCTGGCTGGATGGATGGATGAATGGGTAGAAGGATGAATGGTTGTATGGAAGGATGGACGGATGCATGGATGAAAGGATGAATGGATAGAAGGATGGATGGGTGGCCTTTCTTTAGGTAATAAGCTTAGATACTGAGCAGGGTGGTGTGTCT